TATATATACCAGATCTTGAAAATAATTCAGATTTTTTATATATATAAGTAAAGAGTAATAATAAATTATCATAAATAAATTAGTCAAGTTTTCAGTTCTGTAATAAGCTTTAATTTGTTCTGCTTTTTACTTTACACTTTTGTGAATAAAATTTCTAGCGAGTTTCTGTACAAGTCTCGTGACATACTTCGAGATGCTGTTGGGAATATGTATTTGAATGACAAATCAACTGGTTCTATAGTTGGACAACAGCCTTTTGGCGGAGCTCGAATGAGTGGTAAGTTTTTAGTGACTCCAAATTTTACTTAGTTAAGAGTCATTTGCTTTCTTCGTTCTTTTTGCTTTTCAAGTATATAATTCAGTCAAGATAGTCATATTAATTTGTTTTTATCAGCCTCATATTTCTCTTATATGTTTACTTCCATCTCATATTTATAACTAGCTAATGATACATTTTCGTTGGATGACGTGTTCTCCCAAAAAAATATTTTCATTGACTACCATTCGTTTTTGTTTCTTTTCATGCTTAGTTTCAAGGAACAAATGATAAAGCTGGTGGCCCACACTATATTTTACGATGGACTTCACCACTTTGTATCAAAGAAACATTCATCCCTCAAACGGAATGGAAATATCCATCTCTAGATTGATGGTGCTATCAAGTCTAATAATAATTTGGAATCAAATTCTGCATGTTCTTATTTTTTTATCTTCTTTTGTGTCACTGTTACTATTTTGATATTCCAAAACGCTTATTCTATATATGTATGTATTTAGGATCCATTTGAATTCCATGTTTCCAAAGAATTTAATGTCTTTTATCACTTCATATTTATTTGTTACAATAGGAAGTAAAAGACTATTTCACTGAAATCGAAATATAGCTTGAAACACAAAACTGAAGTTCTTTGAACTAATTCGTGACTTTACGGATTACTTTTGTTTAATTTGCTCAAAATTATCAGTGCAATTCAATACTTCAGATTAATTTAAATCTCTGGGACACATTAAGAATTTCATAGCTTCTTGATCGGGATCCGATTTTGACTTATTCTTTATTTTTTCATTGGCTGATATCTTATCATCAGCTTGGTTCAAAGCTGCATTTGATGTCGCATGAAATTTTAAATTGTGTAACGAAAATTCGAGATAAAAATTTTTTTCCACTGTGATTGTTCTAATTTCTGCTGTTGACATACAATCATTTGAGTTGTGTGGATCATTCTGATTTACTTCGCTGACAAAATTATAGATCTGTACAGATTTTATCATTCATGTATAAAGAATATCAAGTTTATCTATTTTTGTATATAACTGTCGCGTAGAGGTTCTTTTGCAACCTACAAATAATACTATGCACAAATAATATGATTGTTTCTTTCAGATCGCAGAAACGATCTAAATTTTCGGTCATTATACGTGAATTTAAGGCCGTGATCCACCTTTGGTAAGGAATAATGGACTGGACCTATGTTTCATTTGATGGTTTGTTACTTTGTTTCATTGGGAGTGTTTTTGTATTAAAATTTTCCTGATATCGCACTATTTGGAAAAATATTTAGAAGCAAGAAGTGTTTTACGTAAATGGCGAGAGGAACATGTTCGTAGATCTCTGGAAACTGTGGAATTATGGGAACATGTTTTAAGTCGACAATCTCGTTCATTAGGTGATGAACTGTGGCTTGTTTACGAACAGGTAAAAAGTTTACTTCTCCATATTTCCAGTTGCTTTCTGTTGTCAGGGAATTGAGGCATATATGAAATATGCCTAAAGAATTAGCGTACCTTTAGTCGCTGTTGATTGTCATTTAAAGGGCATATTCTGCAACTGGAATATCTTTACGAGTAGCAATTTTGTAATTATGTAATGTAATAATTGAATGGAACGGTGTTGATTCAAAACCTAATTTGCTTATTAGGTTTGTATAGCAGCACTGGACTCATCCAGAACAGACGTTGTAATGGAGTGTATACGTGCTTTACAAGAAAAATTTCCGCGAAGTAATCGTGTTTTAAAATTGCAAGCAATGCGTCTCGAGGCTCTACAACGGTAACTCTCTTTTACGATTGTGTAATCTTCATATCATTGTGAAATGTGATCAGACTTAGGGAGCTGTTATTTGTGAGTAAAAATTACGAGACGAATCAAGAATCATATTTCGCTGAAAAATTTTTTTGTTTAGGTAGCTAATAAAACATTGGAAATAAAATCGACTTGTAACTCCTTTATAGTTTGTTTTCTCCAATGTTGTATACAAAATCCTCAGATAATTTTCGAGAAAAAAAAATTAGCCTTATTTTCATTATCAGTCAACTTTTAATCTTCATAATGTTCAGGTATGATAGTGCAGCTCATCTTTATGAACAGCTTATTGAATCTGATCCAACTAATATGGTACACTTCTAATTCAAGCTAAATAATGTTAAAGATCCTTATCATCACTTTTTATTCATTTGTTTATATTAAGAGAAGCTGTTTTTTACAGAAAAGAGTAGTTGACCTTAAAGAGTAGATAAATACCTTAAATAGGTAGAGGGGATTTTTTTTTTTTGATTGCATCATACTGATTGTCCAAGATTAAAATGTTTACTTTGTTTTATTTTTTTACAAGCCAACTGAAAGATTTCATTTCAGTATTATTAATTTATATAAGAAGCATTATAGTCTTATCGCAAGCGAAGGATTGCAGTTTTTAAAGCTCAAGGAGATCGGCAAGGAGCAATTCGTGAACTAAATGAATATTTGAAAACTTTTATTTCTGATACAGAAGCATGGCTTGAGCTTTCTGATTTATATTTACAAGAGGGTGATCATCCACATGCAGCTCACAGCATGGAAGAAGTTATACTATCTAATGTTTGTCTTATTTTCTTTATTTTTGAAGGGTAGATGTTACAGTGTGGAGGATAGCTTGAGATCTGAATAATAATTTTTATTTCTCACATTATTCTCACATTTCTTAAGCTGTGGAAGTGACAATTTATTCCGATAAATGTTAACCAATATGTAAAAATATATATATTTCAGCCACATAATAGTTTATATTTGCGACGGTTGGCAGAAATACGTTATACCCAAGGTGGTATAGAAAATATTGAACTTGCAAAGTCATATTTTGAGCATGCATCTAGAACCAATCCGTCATGCTGTCGCTCATTATATGGAATCATACTAGTATGTTAAGTGAAACATTTTATTTTAAAAATTGGTGATGGAAGTCATTATTAGGATTGATGGTGTTTTGATACATTTCATGCGTTTAAATAAACTGTGTACAACTATTAGAATGAAATGAAAAGAAAATTTTTTGATTTCATATCGTTGTAACAAACTGAATTTAGTGCTTCGAAGTTTTAGAAAAAATTTTACAGTGCTCTTTAAATTTGTCAGCGAGAAGCAGTGGTCAGAAAAAAAAGGAGCTGACGCACTGTGGACTAATAGCCATTGAAAAGCTGATGAATTATTATGAAGAACCTTCAGCAGTTGAAAATAATCCAAACATCGCCATGGAGTTGGAGATGATATTAGATCTAAAGACACAATTGCAAAGCTAGTTCTCTTAGAGCTCTCTGTTTAATTAAAACCATGCTTGTTTAGCTATTGATTTGATCTTTTGATTTTCAACAGCATTTCTCTTATATCACAAGTAAAAGGCATGTTATTGTGCATATATTTAATTTTTTCTTTCTTTTCAAAGCAGTTCCATTGTAAAATCTTGCTTACAGGTGTTTATTGTGAGTATTTCAAGCTTCAAAAACTGTAAAGTAAATATTAATTGCACTTTTCAAATGCATCTTTTTCATAAACATGGATTTTTTTACTTCAAGTAAATCAGTGTATGTTCCTTGTCATTGTATATGGAAGTTACAACCAGAATGGGTTGATTTTATAGTAGGATTGATCTTCAGAATTTTTCATATCTTGATATTTTAATTTGTACTTTGAATGTATATATGCATCTCTCTCTTTATATATATA